GGGGGGGGGGGGGGGGGGGGGGGGGGGGGGGGGGGGCGGCAGTGAATTCAGACTTCTCTAAAAGCCATGTAATGTGCCGATTAATTCGCCCAACTAGATCATTCATAGCAGTTATTTTTCAACAATTTTGGTAAGTGAGGCTACCTAACGCTGCACATTAAGCATATCAAGTGGTCTGAAACTAATTCGTTCGTTGTGTGGTACCACTCATTCATAAATCCAGACCACAGTTTTTTCTCGAAGAACACAACATCATTTTACAGAGAGAGAGAGGGAGAGAGCAAAAAAAGAAAGAAGTGGAACAGAAGAAGTCAACAAGGAACGAATAAAACAAACAACAGGCACTCAACAGCAGGCGAATGTGTTCTCGTCAGTGGTACTACTCCTCAGCACATGGATCTCTCTGCGTGTACTCCCTTACTACTGAGATACCGTAACAATTCCCGAAGGCATCGAGTTCTGCATTATCGGTGGCAGTGGCGGTGGCTGTGTGCTATAAACGACCTGGCTTGTTGCTGCTGCTGGATTTGATACTGCAGCCATTGCAACAGCAGCAGATGAGGCATCCGTATGCATCGCCAAATCCGGGATGTACGCTTGCAGTGGTGTCGTCGATGTAACCACTGCACCAATCATACTTGGATCAGTAGCAGCCTGAAATGCCAAAAAACAAGATGATAATGTCACTCTCAAATACAGACGACTCTTAAAAACTGCATTCCTGCGGTAACACGCACCGCAGCAAAGCAATTTACTGAAAAAAATTTTCTCATTTAAAATCCTTCACTTCCTCCTCATTTTTCCCTTCCCTCTTCACCCCACCCTTACTCGTCCAAATCCCACAATCACATCGTTTCCCCTTCTGTTTCTTCCATTCTTTTTTCATTTTCTTTAAAGCACTGTGACCATCATACTGACGAGGTCCTGTCACCGTCTTAAGATGTATATGACTTAATGGACCGAAATATCTTATCTTACTCTTCCATGCTGTAATCTATCGCGCCTTCGCCACTCAGGCTTCCAGGGTCAACTTGGTTACTGCAGTCAGCTTACTACTAGAGTTGGTTATTGTTCTTGCCTAACCACAATTCGACAGAAATGCAACAGGAGTTTCTCATGGCTCACTTATTATTTGCTCTTTAAACAAAACATTGCTCTGTTGTCAGTAAACCCCTTTCTTCTGTTCGTTTTGGATGCGACATCATTCGATCCCATACTGTTCAAGGGACCGAAAAACCACGTGTACAAATTATCTTCTTTTAAAGGATTTTTCAAAACGTTATACGGCAGCAGTTCTCTATGCCAGATAACACTAAAAACTTGAGCAATATCTATTTATAAAGCGGAGCAGCTTTCAGTTCAACAATTAACATTCATTTAACGCTGGTGATCCAGAAAACTTGCCTGAACACCATAGGTCCACTGGTAGAACGGGAACGCTGCATAAGCTGGATGCACGGGAACTTGCGGAATCGCCGTACCAGTAGGCAACTGGCTGGTTGCCATACTTGTACCAGGTGCCACACTCGAAAGATCGGACGGCGGTTGCAGTAAGGCCGCACTGGCACCATGAATCGATAAACCTTGCATCTGCGCAGCAAGACTGCCCATCGATCCATCGCCATAGCCTTCAAATAAAACTTAGATATTTTGCAGGGTTTACACATCGGAAACAGGAATTGCTAACTCAGAGAGCAGGAAGGCTGAAATTTTAAGGGGATATTTTCCGTCCACGTACAACTCAAAGATTTCAAATTCAGTTCCCAGCTATGCCTGGCACTCATTTACGGGCATGTGTCCCAAAACAAGCGTAGGGTTGACTGCAAGGTTGCTGTGTTCACATGGCACCTAATGAAAGCATCGTGCGCTTCAGAAATTTTAAATTTTAACCTATTTTCAACTAATAAACATGGATGGCCTTGACATGTAATGCTAAATTTTCCCTATTATCTTTTAAGAGAGGGATTTTGAGCCTCTTGTGCCTTATTCTCTCGGTGATTTTTCTTTCCCCCTTTTCTCTCCTCGCTCCCCCCACCCCCGCCCTCCCTCGCTTTCTCTTTCCCCTCTTCCCAGTGTTCCACTTTCCCTTCCCCTTTTCCTTTGTGGTCAAAAGATCTGTCTTACGTGCTATAATCCCAGTATGCAGGAGCAAATTTACAAGAAAAACAAGAAACAATTACCAGGAAAAACAGAATACTGCGGATGCGCATTGTAGACGTAAGGTGACGGCGGCAGAAGATACTGAAGGTTCGGGTTGCTTCTGATATACTGTCCACTGAGATGTTCATATGGTTGTGCCGTGTAACAAGGTGGCTACAATACAATATCGTTTAGAAGCATATCCAATCATCTTGACTAAAAGTTTGAAATTTTCGATCAATTATCACTGCAATGACGAAATTTCGAATTCTTATCTCTCCTAATTCTCGAAACAACCGACAAGCTGTTCCTGTGAGTAACTCTCTCTAAAGGATTTAAGGCAGAGGAATTGGAAGTCATATACTTAACAGGCATATGGGAAGCATTTTGTGTTTTACCCCCATAGCGCTAATCACAAAGAGAGCTTTGGACACGGAGACTGAAGCCAGTTTTCTTTATTTTAGCTACCTGCCTTTCCAACTTGCCACTCTATCTCTTATTCTTTCCCCTTCCCTCACCTTGAGGTACTAGATTTCATTCAGAAAGAGGCGAAAACTTTCATCTGTTGTCAGAAACCCTTTTTTTCCAGAAACAGTCGCTTACCTCAGCGAAAAACCATTCTTATTTCTAAAATATCGAAACAAGGGCCAACTACAAATAGCTCAGCCTGGGCAAGTTAGTGTCGAGGTTTTTTTGCTGTAAGCTGGAGAGCTCCAGGTATCCCAAACGCATCATCTCGAAAAAATTTGAGGGGTAAACTCTTACACTGAGCTCGAGCTGCGTAAGACTGCCGTACATTCCTGATGCACTTTGTCGTGCCTTCAGTTTTTTGTTACTATCCGCATACTTTACCATAAGTGGCATGTCACAACCACGGATCACTTTTTTTCCGTTTAAATCCTGTAAAAGTAAATGAATGCACTGATAATCATACAAAGCGTTTCATCAGTAATAATTTGCTCTCAGCGCTAGCAAGCAAAAGTTCATGGATCAATTCAGCAAGACCGTAAATCCGTTTTTCACAAAAACTCTTATAAAATAAAAAACGATACGGTTTACATCCTACAACTTTAGTTCATGGATCTTAAATTTCCAGCCCAAAAATAACAAATCTTTGTCATGCACGTTTTTCGATACGCAGTTCGGAATTTTGATCGCCCCAGGATTCTCACACATATATATCACCACTAATCTTCTATACTTTGAGAATATGAAGAGAAATTTGAGTACTTTGATAATTTTGGCGCACAGTTCTTCATTATCCATGCGTGCAAAGCCAACACATCTGCTCGAGCCGTCACCATTCTTTAAAACTCTAGTACTTATTGTAGAGCCGTAGCCTTCTAGTAGCTTTTGTAAGTCGGTTTCGGTAAAGTCTGGTGGCAAATTTGCGAGGTACAGGTTTGTCGGATCCTGCTCCTGTTGCTGAAACACGATGAGATTTTGATGGTTGTTTGGACTGAGTGCCTGCAACAAAAATTTTCATTGTTAATTAACTTATTCTGCTTCTTCTTCCATCTATCCATCAATTTTCGAGATGGACAATCTAGACTATCTCCAACTAATCCTAATTCCCCTGTTGGTGACACATCAAAGACCAAAAAGATCTAGAAATTTTATCTGTGAAGACCAGAAAGATTTAGAAATTTTTTGACAAATAATTAGTAAAATCCAACCTCTACCTAAGTCGATAAGTTCTCATCAGCCAAAAAAAAAAATCTTTAACATTCAATCCCAAATCAATTTTCCCTCGGCTAAATTCTGCGCAATACTTTCCCACTTAACACACAGGCAACACCCAAGCCAAAACGTTTGAAATTGTCAGTGAATAATTTATACTATAATAGTTAACACTGTCCGATGGCAAAAAGACTGTTATTTTGGAGGCAGTATTTTAAGCACTTCTTTTAAAAAAATGACCTTTGCCATCTGGGCTTGAACTTTTCCTTCTTGGTTCAGTCCCTCGACAGCCCGCTGAGCGTCTTCAGCTTCTTTAAAATCAACGAAACCATAACGCTTACATTGTCCCGTTGCTTTGTCCTGCAAATCCAGGTTCCAAGCACTTTTAACATCATGTCGCACATCAGAGGCAGCAGTAACCGTTGAACACGAAAGCAATATAAATCTTTTCCAACAATCTGAGTAAAGCCAGTGGGACGGACCCTCCTATATCTCTTTTGATGATCGGCTTAATTACAGGACTATGCAACGACATACATTCATGAGGCCAGCCAGACTGGAGGGAAAAGTATTGTATTCACTTCCAAAAGCCAAAGCTATACCGCGGCAATCAAAATACGGTGCTGTTTTCCACTTCATAAATATTATCAGCTAGAAACGAGCGCTCTGTACTTTCATACACACAGATAACCTGCTGAAGGTCAAAATCAACCACCTCCCCCCCCCCCCCCCCCCCCCCCCCCCCCCCCC